TGTCCTGCCCTCTCAGAACGGCACGTTCGACGAGTCGGTTCCCTTTTACCGGCTCTTCCCCTGCCGCACTGCCCCTCTCCCCCCCCCGCCGCTCTTCCTCGCACCAGGTCCTCCTCCGGTAGACCCCCTCCCCCCTCAGGGTCCTGCTCCCTCAGGTGTGTCTCGGGTAGACCCTGTCGAGCCTGTCGAGGTAGCTGTCGACTCTGGTGCTGCTAGGGGTGCTGCGACTGGGGGTGCTGAGCCTGAGCGTGTGGAGCCGGGGGGTGCTGAGCCTGAGCGTGAGGAGCCTGGGGGTGCTGAGCCTGGGGACTCTCTCTCCACCGCAGCTGCGCAAGTGGTTTGCTCGGCGCTGGAGCCTTCGGAGTGACGCTGCTAGAGCTGGGGGCCTGCCGCTGGAGACCCTGGAGCTGGAGGCGCTGGAGCTGGAGGTACCGGAGGTGCTGGAGCTGCTGGTCCTGGAGGTGCTGGAGGTACTGGAGGTTCTCCGGGTGCCTCATCCCGGCAGGAGCCCCTCTCTCCACCGCAGTTGCGCGAGTGGTTTTCTCGGCGTTGGAGTCTTCAGACTGGCGCTGCTGGAGCTGGGGGGCCTTCTGCTGGAGGTCCTGGAGCTGTAGGGCTTGGACCTGCTGGTCCTGGAGGTGCTGGAGGTACTGGAGCCGCTGGTCCCGGAGGTGCTCGTACTGGAGGTACTGGAGCTGCTGGACCTGGTGGAGCTGCAGGTGCTGGAGCTGCTGGAGCTGGAGCTGCTGGAGGCACTGGAGCTGGAGCTGCTGGAGGTGCTGGAGCCGCTGGTCCCGGAGGTGCTCGTACTGGAGGTACTGGAGCTGCTGGAGCTGGAGGTGCTGCAGGCGCTGGCGCTGGAGGAGCTGGAGCTGCAGCTGCTGGAGGTACTGGTGCTGCTGGTCCCGGAGGTGCTCGTACTGGAGGTACTGGAGCTGCTGGAGCTGGTGGTGCTGCAGGCGTTGGAGCTGGAGGAGCTGGAGATGGAGCTGGAGCTGCTGGAGGTACTGGAGCTGCTGGAGCTGGAGGTGCTGCAGGCGTTGGAGCCGGAGGCACTGGAGCTGGAGCTGCTGGAGGTACTGGAGCTGCTGGAGCTGGAGGTGCTGTAGGCGTTGGAGCCGGAGGCACTGGAGCTGGAGCTGGTGGTGCTCCTGGAGTTGGAGCTGGAGACCCTGGAGCTGGAGGTGCTGGCCCTGGGGGTGCTGGTGCTGTCGGTGCTTGTTCTGGAGGCAATGTGCGGCCGCGACCGTACTTCGTTCCACTCCTTCAGCAGGTTCTTGGTCTCCCGCCTTCTACTGGCCTTCCTCCTCCCTTACTGTGTCCACCGCCTGACCAGTCGCAGTCGCAGTTACAGCCAGCCTCCCCACTGCCTGCTCCTTCTCCTTACACTGGGCCGACAGGAGGTCTTGCGGAGCGTCGTGAGCCTGAGTCTCGTCAAGCGTTGCCTGTTCGCGCTGTACGCACTGGTCGTCGTGTTCCGCGTCCGCGTCCTCCTCCTGTCCCCAGCACGCACCAGATGGCACTCCGTCCTTCCTCTGTTCCACAGCGTGTCCCTCTGCCGTCTCCTCCTGCGTCCTCTCTTCCTGACGTTGCTGACCCGCCGTCAGACCTTGCTCGTGCTGCCAGTCCTACTGTCACACGTCTTCTAGCCACTGTTGTCACTGACCCTTCGTTTGAGTCCTCTGCTGCGCCTGCCCTAGTTGACGAGCTTGTTGACTTTGCTGCCGCCTGTCGCCTCGACTACGCCGCTAGTCTTGTTGCTGAGTCTGAGTCTGTCTGTCCTCCGTCCGTCGGGGGTGAGTGTGCTCTTGGCACGAACGTCCTTGAGGACAGGCAGGAGGACTTTGAGTGTTTTGCAGCTGCTTTACCTCATCTCGTGTCCATGCTGATTGCACCTGAGGGAGACCCGGATGCACCAGACATCCCGACCCCGCGCTCTTACGCAGAGGCGATTGAGGGTCCCTACTCCTCTCAGTGGCGGACAGCCATGGACGCAGAGATGGCTTCCTAGAAGTCCACAGGCACCTACGTCGACGAGGTTCCCCCACCTGGGGCGAACATCGTCAGTGGCATGTGGATTTTCAGGGTGAAGCGGCCGCCGGGTTCTCCGCCTGTCTTCAAGGCGCGTTACGTTGCACGAGGCTTCAGTCAGCGACAGGGAGTTGACTTCTTCCAAACCTTCTCCCCTACCCCGAAGATGACCACTCTTCGGGTGCTGCTGCACGTCGCCGCTCAGCGTGACTACGAACTTCACTCTCTTGACTACAGCAAGGTCAGGTCGAGTGCAGGTCATTAGGTACATGAGGCAGCCCACAAGCTCTGGATACGGGCCACTCGGCTCTACGGACTCATCCGAAGGCAAAGCTGAGAGCGAGTGACCGGTAGGCAGAGGAGTGGACTGTGGCAAGGAGTACGTGAAGCGGAAGCGCTAAAGGACCTGCTGCACCAGCTTGGAGGACGGGCTCGAGTTGTCCTCACTGGCCGCGCAGACGCTTATTGGGTTGACGACCTGGCTACGCAGCAGTCGTCAAAGGGTTACTCTTTCAGCCTTCGCTCCGGCTCTGTTTCGTGGCGGTCTACCCGCTCGTCTTCTGTTCTCAGTTCCAGTTGTGAGGCTGAGATCTACGCAGGGGCCATGGCTGCACAAGATTTACGCTGGCTCACCTACGTGCTGACCGACTTGGGAGAGCCGCCTCGTTCTCCTCCAGTTCTGTACGTCGACAACAAGGCCATGATTGCCTTGTGTCAGGAGCACAGACTCGAGCACAGAACGAAGCACATCTGCGCTACTTCCTTGCTCGAGAGTTGCAGCAGCGTGGTCAGCTTCGTCTTGCTTACGTGGCCTCTCGGGCCAACACTGCTGATATCTTCACCAAGGCACTTCAGCCTTGTGATCATCAGCGTTTCTGTACTGTTCTAGGCCTTGTGCCTACTTGGCCTCACTTGCTCACTTCTTGACTTTGCTTGTACTGTGATCTATATACTTATACCTGCATGCTTACACTTGCTAGGTTGTGATCACTGTACTGCTTGTTCTCCTTTATATAACTCTGCATGTGAACTGGCCTTGTGGCCATTTGCTTGTGCTCAGAATGCGTGGTGACTTCGTGATCCACCCTGAGCTTGCTTTGCTTTTCTTGACCGGTCTTGTGACCTCTTGTTCTCCCCCACTTTGCCTATGGGGGTGTGTCAAACTGATATGCTGCTTATTGTGTAGGCTATAGTGGGGTAGCCCATATGGGGTACAACCCAATTAGGGTTTGCTACTTGTACCCATCTTGCTGCTAGTTCATCCATTCTCGCATACTGATTCTGACAGTGCATCCAACGGCCTCGAAGTAAATTTCGAGTACAGCTACGAAGCAACGGACGTCGCTCCCTTTCGCGCTAGGATCAAATGCCTCCGCAAGCCTCGGCTTCGCAGCTTTGAGGTTTACTGTAGTTGGTGACGCTGTCGCAGGTACAAATGTCGGTGTCGCTGCCGCCGCTGCTGCTGTCGCTGCTGCTATGGCGGCTGCTGACTGGTTCGCGAGCAACGCCTCGAGTCGTTGTAGAGTCGCGCGCGTCTGCTCCTGTTCGGCACGAAGAGTTGCGATCTCCTGTACAAAGTTGTCGCCGCTCCCCTCCATGCCTGTTCGGTTAACCACTCAGGGGAATTGAAAATCAACGCAGAACTGGTTTTAACGTACCCGAATCGGCGTGATCGTCGTCGCCCCTGCGATTTTTTTAAGGCTGCTTTTTAGCGAGTGAAGAACTTCGAGTGAGAACAAGCTTTGATTAGCAAGTGTGAGGATCGATGATCCAGTTCAGTAAAATTATTATGATCACCTGGGTACAACACTAGGTTATATATAGGCACGATACAAGGCAGGTAACCAGGTGTTACGAGAAGGTTCCGAGGTTTGCGAAGCATCGGGAACGGGAGCTTCCCGAATTCGGTAGAATCAATTTGGCGGAATCACGCGCACGCAAAGTCACGCGGAAATCACCGAAATGCAACAGAATTTGGTTCACGTAACCTAATTCGGTGCTATAATCATAATAAAAATAGTAAAGCAACGAATCTAGGAACACAAGCACAATATGAAAAATAGAAATTAAAGATAAGCAAGAATGGGTAAGCACGGTAGATGTACTCTCACAGCGTAGTCAAGGCGGCGGTTGGAGGCAAAGTCGGTGAAAGCGGCGACAAGAGCCGAGACAGACGACGGAGAGGCAGTAGGGCCAGTCACGAGAGAGGAAATGACACGAGAGACGACGGTTGAGCAGTACGGAAGTAGTCAGAGAGAGGCTGGGATGAAACAGTGAGAGATGACGGATGAGGTTAAGGGAGAAGAGAAGGAGACGGGACACGACGAGGGATAGTATGAAGGAACAGTGAGTGGAGGTATGGAACAAGAGACGAGGAGCGAGCCCTCGGGAAACGACGACGGTAGGGAGTAGAGGCAAAAAACTGAGAAAGAGGCAACGGGGGAGGCAGCGGTGACCGAGGAGGAGAACGAGCCGGGGAGGCGTCAACAGGAGAAAATGGGGGACTGTACTCATGCGAATGAGGAGAGTGGAAGACCAAGGAGACGAAGGCCACTCACATGTGGCGACGACTGCAGCTGCTGCTGCTGCTGCTGCGGCTGTGGCTGCTGCTGAAGCGGGGACCTCGTCAGGTAACGAGGGACGACCAGAGCAGGTGCCGCAGTTGTAGCACCTCCAGAACCAGCACCTCCAACTCCAGCACCCCCAGAATCAGCACCTCCAGTGCCAGTACCTCTAGCTCCAGCACCTCCAGCTGCAGCATCCCCAGAACCAGCACCTCCAACCCCAGCACCTCCAGCTCCAGCACCGCCAGCGCCAGTGCCCCCGACGTCAGCTTCCCCCGAACCAGCACCTCCTGGAATCCTCGCACCCAGTGGTAGGAGACTGTGGTGAAACGGTCAACATGGTTGGGGTGGGATGGAGCACTACTAGGATGCTAGCGGCTAGTGTTGGTGGCACCACTGGCTCAAATGGCGCTACTGGTTTGGCTGCCTGTGCTAGAAGGCCTAGCGCTGCTGGCGGCTGGAGGCTGGCTGCTGGCGGCTAAGGCTAGGGCGGCGCGACTAACGGCTAAAGCGGCGGTGGGCATTGCTGCAGCAGTGCGCACGGCGGTGGTGCTCGCTGCGGCGGGGCGCGCTGCCTTGCTTGATGCTGCGGCGGTGCGATCGGCGGAGGCGCGCGCTGCGGCGTGCGCTGCTGCAGCTCTGCGCGCGCTTGCGTGCGTGCGCTGCCTGCGCTGGCGGCTGGTGCGTGCTGGTGGTTGACGCGCGTTGCTTGCGCTGGCGTGCGTTGCTTGTGCTGCTAGCGTGAGCACGCGCGGGCTGCTGGCGTGCGCGCTAAGCACGGCGTGCGGGATAGCGACGGGCGCTAGGGAGCTGGTGGCTGGCGGCAGGCTGGCTAGGACGGAGCTGGTGGCTAGGACATTCGGAGCTAGGGAGGTCGGCGGGCTAAGTTCCTAGGAACTACCAAACGATGATACAATCTAAGAATGTAACAGTGGAACGAATGAACTAGAAAGGATGGGGATACAAATATGAAACCCTAAAAGGGTTGTACCATCTAAGATGCACCTCACTGTAGCCTACGAAACTAAGATGCACATGTGTTTTTAATTTGACACCGAAGGCAAATGCGGGAGGGACTGGGGGAGTTGGTGGAGGATTTGGGTTGTGGGAGACAGAGAGGGATTGAGGGGGGGAGGGGCAGGGGAGGGTTTCAGCTGTGAGAGGTGCAAGGGACTTGGGGGCTGAGCTAAGCTGATGTACCATATATATATAGGGATTTAACACTCATCCTGATAACTTAGTCAGCACAAAGTTCCATGTAAAATCTTATTGTTTATGGAACGGTTCAGAAAGGTGCCTTGCGAAATAATATCATCGTACTCGTTGCAGATGCGATTCCGAATGCGATTCTCGATGGCTTCCCATCTGCCCACACGCACACTGTGGCGGCCCCTTTTCCCCGCAGAAATCCGTGGTCGAGGATAAGATGCGGAACCCCTTCACCTCGCTCAACACTAAGCTACAAGTATGACTTTCTGGATCAGCATATGTAACGCATGACCTACTCTACCTAATCTACCGCTAGCTTCCTAAGTCAACATCGAGAGAGTGCTCGATGAGAAATGACTCGATGGGAATCGGGAAGGTTGAGTTGGAGGGGAAGGTTGGTTGGGTTATTCCAAACCTCAACCTTGAGGCTTGGAAACTTCCAACCCATCAAAGTGAAGATTGGGAAGGTTGGATTTCCAACCAATCACATTGTGCCAGTTGTTGTTACAATCCAACCAAACAACAAAACAACCATACAACACAATTAAGTTGGGTTTTCCCAACCAAACAAAGATGCCACATAGGCTCCAAGCCTAGAAGCTCCCCAACCATGGAAGCCATGGTTGGGAAGAGCCCCAAGGGGTATTGTGGAAGGGGTTGAAGCTTTGAAGCTCATTCCCACTTCCCAACTCCAACTTACCAACTTGGAAATGGGATTTCTCTAAGTCATTTGGTCCTCCTAACAAGCTCTCCTACACACACAACTAGAATTGTGCTTATTTCAAGGACAACTTCTAGAAGAAGCTACCTACTTCCTTGCTAAAGCTTCATCAACCTACTTCAAGCTCTCTTTCTCCTCTCAAGTTTCAAGAATACTATCAAGGCTAGTTTATCCCTTGGTGGGATTAATTTAATATTGGAAGCCTTGTATCTTGATTTTATAAATATTGTCAAGGAGGATTTATATTTAACACACGGTTGCCCGTTGTTATAAGGGCCGTGGTTGTTACAGCATACGTAGACTAAAATGCCTTGCTACAGTTCACTCTACTGACTTACCCCCACCAAACTGCTCTTAGGACTCGCCTTTTCTTGCGGCAGCTTGCCGCCGTGTAGGTACGTGTTTGTTTCGTTGAGAGATACCGTCGCTGAGGGTACCCGTTGGAACATCCAAGCAATCACCGCAGATGATAGCAGCCATCGGATCTGCAGCCCTTCCTCCCAACTCGGATTCGCACTTTGCCACGCACGTACCCTGGGTCCGTCCAACGTCTCGCTGCTTCGCCATCAGGGCTACCCACGTGAATCGTACATCATCTCTTTCACCCTGCCTCATACATACCACGTGCCGCCCGGTTTCGAGTTTCGTACTCTCACCAGAATAGGTCGTGTGGGAAACCAAAAGCGGTGCTGGCGCGGTTCGTGATTCAAACCAAAAATACTCCCTTTATATGAAGTGACGTGGCGTACAGCATGTCACCAGCCGGTCCGGGACACGCTTCACCTTAGCACATCTTATCCGACAATGCTTCGAAGGGGTGCAACAGGCGGCTCGCTGTAGATCTTATCCGTAGACAGCTTGACTGAGGTTTTGAACCCGCCCTCAGTCGCGCTTTGGTCACGTCAGGCAGTGGCTGCTCGAACCGACGACTCGTCTGCTCCTATTGCGCGATTTGACTTATTCCCCGCTCAGGCCGAGTGGCCTATTGGCTGTTTTTGGCTTCCAGGCTGTCAGACCAGCGTTTGTACTATCAGCACGTCACGTCTGCTCCCCTTCGCGCGAGCCGGCTCTATCGGCGCATGCCACGTCGGATCTAAGACTGAGGCGCAGCCTTCGCCCATGTCATGCCGTTTCCTCTCAACTCGAAAAGCAATCTCGATTTCGCCGGTGGCCGGGCCACTGTGCTGCGTTGCAGCTGAACAGTCGCAGTGGCGGCGCGGGGGAATCTGATTTTTACAGCCAGTATCGAGTCCGATGACGTCAGCATCGTGGACCCTTCGCCTCGCGACTCACTCGAAGAACTGCCCGTGTCAGCTTCTCTCCGTGAGTGCACCCACTGCCGTTTGCCCGGCGAATGCCACAATACCATGGCTGCACAGTTCCGCCGCCGTTGCCGCGCCGCGCGGCGTGGCCTCCACTGTCGTACGGCTTCAGTTGTCTCGCTCTCCCTTTTTTTTCCTCACAGTGGCTGTGGTTTTGTATAAAAAGGAGAGTCGTTTCCGAGTCTGAGCAGCACAGCACAGCTTTGTGAGCGACCACCCTGCTGTGATAGAAAGTCCTCGCGGAACAGCCCTGCGCTCCATGCAAACGCGATTGCTGTGAGAGACTTGGTTTGCCAAGACTCAGATTGCTTTCCCTCCAGCGCTGGTTCTTACAGTGGACTGGTTCTTACACAACTCGGAGTTACCGGTACTCCTCCCTAGCGGTACTCGAGGTGGAACACTCTTGTCTCAGGCAGTACCTGTCAGAAGCAGGGAGTTTGGATTTCACAGGGAATCTGGATTTCGGCATTTGGTTGTTACGTCAACCATGGAAGCTTCTGCAACAATCCAGCAGCGCCGTCACAGTGTGCCTGCATTGGGACAGAGGGCTAGTACCGCTGTCTGTGAGTGCATCTGCCACGGCGGAACAAGCGCTTCTGCCACTGAAGTTACCCGTAAGGCGGGCGAGCAAATGGTTGGGCTCAACGGTGCGTTGAGAGGCCACGAGACCACTTCTCTTCTCCTGAAGGCGACTCGCTTTAAGACGAACCCTCTGCAAGCCAGTAACTTGGTCGAGTTAACCAGAACCCAGCAGCTCGATTTGTTAACGTCAAAGGCTAAGACGTATGTGGTTGGGCTGAACATAAGCTGCGAGGCTGACTCGGATGAGGAGGAGGATGAGGACGAGGAGGAGGAGGCGTTTAGAGACATGGAGGAAGTGCTGTGGCTGAGGCAGAGGCGGATTGTGCTGGGGACACGACACGGCACGCCATGCCCTTTTCCCCGTGAAAGGATAAGTGTACGGAGAAGCCGCCGCTCAGCTGGCGTCGATTGCCCGTACCCATCCTCAACCTCCCTGCCTTGCTCCTTCCCTCCTGGGCGCACCAGTCGTCGTCGTCCTGGCAGAGATTCGCTGTACCCATCGTCAACCTCCCTGCCTTGCTCTTCCTCTCCTGGGCGGACCAGCCATCGCTCAGCCAGCAATGGAACTGAAGCAACCTCCTTTATCACCAAGAGACCGTCCCTCCAAGATTCTTGTAACCTCAGCCGCAGCTGCTCTGCTGTTGGCTGCCATGCCCTCCACCCAGTGCTCCTCTGCTCCCCTGCACTCCACCCATGGGTGCATGGCAGGGGAGAGACAGCGTTACCATCTTCCCTGCACTCTACCCGTGATGCTGCTGCAGTGCCTCCTGCTCGCTTGCCGGGGCATGGTGTTGCTTCGTCAGGTGACAGGCAGACGGGTCAGAGGGCTGTTGTTGGGGTTGATGATTGGGGACGGAGCAACGGCCGCCAAGACCAACAGCTGCCGAGACACTCGGAAGACTCTTGTTGTAAGACGAACACCGAAGGCAGCAGGAGCAGCCATGGAAGCGCAAAGTTTTATGTGGCAAGGAGTGGCCGAAGCATCCGCACGACCACTCGAAGTAGCAAGAAATTACAGGAGCCTGGCGTTAAGCAGCAGGGGGGTTAAGTAGCTTCTCAAGCAGAATACAACTTGCTAAGCCGGGCGATGAGCGTCCTTCAGCCAGCAGATGAGCCTAAGTTGGCACTTTAGCATGTGCAGAATCAAGATGCGAGTGCATTCAAATAAAAGAGCGAAGGACATGAATCCATGGATTCAGATATGCGATGTTGTTGTGATGCCATGTGTGTGACTCAGCTGCAGGTCACACACAACAATCTATAAGCTCTCAAACTTACTGTGTTGTTGCATGCTGGCTCAGTGGGGATGGGGGAGCCATTTAGGGAGGCAGGTACTCATTCAGCCTCTGTTTGGATTTTTTTTGGAGAATGTGCATGTACCGTAGTTTGTTGCTTGTTGAACCATTCTTCTATTTGTCTCTAACAATGCTGATCGACATGAAATCTCAACTCCAGTATAACAGAACAGTCTTTTTCCTTTGCTGCTTCTTAGAGCAGCACATCACATCACACAGCACATGTCACTGCAGCACATCAAACAGAACTACGTAGTAGGCACCTAGAAGGACGCCAGACAGCCGGTGTTTGCTGCAGGTCAGATCTCCTGCGAGGCCAATCTGAGGGGGAAAACGCTGCAGATAGAAGCAGCAGCTCCCACCTGCACAATAACCATTTATAGCAGCTATTTACAGAGTTTTTCCGTTTAGAAAGCTCCCACTAGCGCCTTGCGTGGGTAGGTGCGGCCGTTGTCACTGTAAGAGGACGAAACGCCAGCAGCCAGCTCTATAGCGGAGGCGGTTTCATCGTCCAGCGTTTCCGAGCGCACAAAGCGACAAAACTCGCAGTCCGAGTGTGCGAGATCGGTACACCTGTAGTCGTCTACAGTGCCGTCGATAAACCGCTCCGCATTGTCGCCGGGAACAACATGGGTCTTGAAAAGGTTGCTCCACACTAGCTTCTGCCGCTCACTGTG